GAACACTTTATCTTTCAAAGTTTAGTGAAGCCTCCTGGGACTTTGACACTGATAAGACTAAACCTGATGAAATAACGACAGGGTCTCTCTCCTGATCTTGATCTTGGCAAGGCAAGCACACACACAATCAAACCAACCAACCACACAAAAACATATTGCTTAACATTTTAAAATATGGAATTATAAAGATAATCTGCATTCAGGAGCCTAGAATGTCTTTTTATAATAATGATAGCTATGATTCCCCCCCAAAAGATGTATACCAAATATTTAATAGTAGTTATCCACATGGTGGAACTATGAGTCACCTTTTTGTTCCTTTCCTTCTTTTAAATTTTGAGGTAACTAGATTCGCAGTCAGTTTTAAGAAACAACACAAAGAGATTCTGTGTTCCCTTTCCTAGTATTTCAACATTGATAGATTTAGGATACAGATCAATACCATGATAGAAGATTCTGTCACATCAAAGACTTGTGGCTACACCCACCTTCCTCCTGAGCCCTCTGCCCACCTCCCAGACCCCTGCAGTCACTAATATCTTCTACTTTTCTATAATTTTAAAATGTATTCTCCAAAGTTTATTGAGCTCTTTTGGGTGCTCTTTAAGTAATACACAATCCATTTTTTAATATTCATTGTATCATTTAATTCTTAAAACCCAGGGGGTAGTTGTTATGCTTACTTCACCGAAATGAAGATGATGCCAAAGCATTAATGAGGCCCAGCTAATACATGACAGACACAGAATTTGTCCCCAGGCTTGGCTGAGCCCAGGCTCTGGGCTCTTTAATCAGTGCTCAGTGCCACCTCCTGGGATGACAGCGTGGGGAACTAAATTTCTAGTTGTAATTCTGCAAAGTCATATAGGATGGTATAATGGATATTGGAGACTCAGAAGGAGGAGGGTGAGAAGGGGGGAAGGATGAAAAAATCACCTACTGGGTACAATGTGCACTAATGGGGGTGACCGGTACACTTAAAGCCCGGACTTCTTCACCACTGTACAATGCACCCACATAACCAAAAACTACTTGCACACCCAAAGCCATTAAAATAACAATAATAATCTACTGTTTTTAAAAATATTGCACGAACACTATTATAACAACAAATTAAAGAAATAGCTGGTTTTACAGTCCTTTTTCTCTACACGTTTCTGAGTGTTTGCTTGTGCTCAGAGGGTGGGATGAAGACAGCCACCAGCCCTGTTCTGGGGTCACTGACCCCTTCTTAGAGAACCCACCATTTTCTTTTAAGTGCCTTGTTCTGATCATTTCTCTGCAGCTGTATGATTTGTACATAATATCATGATATGACCATCTTGTTTTCTTTCCCAGGTAATAGTACAATCATAATTTGTTTATGTTTCTAAATAAGTTTTATACTTTGTGTTTGTTAAGGATGGTCTAACAAATGAGATTTGTTTGAGCAAGGCCATCATCATGATTCACTCAATTCCATATGCTGGTCCTCAGATCTCATCATCCTTTGCCATCAAGCTTCTGAGCAGCAGCGTGGTGCAGAGACTAAGCACCTGACCCCAAAGTCCCATAGCAGGTTGCAATCCCTGAGTTTCCAAGGAGTGAGAGGAGAATTTACTTAACTTTGCTTCTGGTGCAGGTGAAATGGTGATGGTCGTAAGACTATTTACAGGCAGGGGCCGCTGTGGGGATTAGGCAGGGTAAGCTATTTATGACCACGGTCCAGTACATGCTCGCAAGTGCCCACGTGAAGGATGCTGCAATAAATCTGTGTGCACGCCGAGAGAGCCCTTTGCTTCTTCAGCACAATGCCTGAAAGTCAAATTCCAGGAGTTGAATTACAGAGTCTATGTTTCTGAACATTTTATGACTTTCAAAATATACTGCCAATTTGCTTTCCAAGAGGGTTATTCAATTTTCTCTCCGAGACAGGAGCACACTGATGTCACCCAATTACTGGCAGTAGAATTTGTACTTGTCAGTGACATTTCTTACTAACCTACTAGCCATAACATGTTGCACCATTATTGTTTATCTTGTCATTTCTCTAGGAACTATTGAGGCTGAACATATTTCTTCTTTCTCGTGTCTTGGCTTTTGGGATTCTGGTGTTTTGCTTAATGATTTGCATGAAATTTTTGGATACTATGCAAAGTAGCTCATCTCTCATGTTCTTAATGTGTTTTTCTTTGATTTTAGTTTTATTGTTTTTCACTGTGCTTTGGTAACATGTAGTAGAGGTGTGCCTCATTCATATGGCCTATTGTAAGGGACAGTTTACTAAGTTTTACCCAGTTTGGGGGTCTAGGATAATGATAATGACAGTAACAACAACTAGTGTTTACTGAGCATTTGCTATATACCAGGCACTGTTGCTTGATCTCATTTAATCCTCATATTATTAGGTACTAATGATTATTAGGTACTACAGAACCACAAGCGCTTATCTGAAACCTTTGGGGCCAGATATTATGTAGCACCCTTAGCAGAGACTTGGGAGAATACGTGTAATCAAGCACATTAACATTTCTGCAGTCATATATGTGCATTTATTTACATGGAGATTATACATTGCTTCAGATTCAAATCTGTTTTTGCTGACCTGAGTTTCTTTTTTTAATGACTTAACTTTTTGCCCCCACCAATTTTAAAGATGAAGAAACAGACCCAGGGAGCTGAGTCTGCCCATGGTGTCCTTGCTCCCGAGTGCCAGTCCGAAATCAGCTCTCCTAGGTGAGGCCTGAATTCTGAGCCTGCTAGACCTGACTGGTGGGTTGCTTCTTGCCCACCTCAGGGGCTGCACCAGCTTTGGGATGGTGAGTTTCTTCTTGCCCTGTGCTGCTTCTTGGAGCTTTGTGAAAGTTTCGCAAGGAAGCTGACCACCCCAGCCTTAACTGGAACTCTGGAAAACAGGGCTTTAACATGAGGCAGTGCCAGTCAGGCGGGGTCAGCCTCACACCTCACAGTGCATCTTCTTCCTCCATGGGCAGGTGAGCTCACTGCCTCCCATTCAGAGCCACCCTGATGAGGGCTCCCCATACCAGTGCTGCTGTGGCTCTTAACTTTTCCAGCTGGTGTGTCCTCTTCCTGATGAGGCTGATGGTGAGTGCCCGTGGTGTTCCTACCCTGGGGTAGCCTCCATGAAGAGTGTGTTGCTGTCACTTCTGGCCTTAAGGGCTCTGGGGCTGGGGGCTGGGGGACAATCATCTCTAAGCTGTGTAGAAGCCACTGCCGGTTCATCTCAGTGTACCAGCTCAGATGCAGGCACACGTGATGTGTGTATGTGACATGTGTGCATGTGATGAGTGTACATGTAATGGAGGTGCAGTGGCATGTGTAATGTAGGTGTGGTGAGTGTGTGCATGTGACATGTGTGTGATGGATGTGTGTGATGTGATATGTATACATATGGTGTGTGTGTGATGGGTATGCTTGTGACTCGTGTTCATGTGATATGTGTGTGTGATGTGAAGTGTGCATGTATGATGCGTGAGCATGTGGCCTGTGCATGTGCATGTGATGTGTGTGCACGTGACTTGTGCATGTGTATGTAATGTGTGTGCACATGTGATGTGCATCTGTGTGTGTGTAATGTGTACACATGTGATGAGTGCACACAGTGCTCATTGTGGGAATGGGAAGGTGAGTGACAGGGGTCAGGAGATGGAGGGAGTCCAGGGAAGCGTTGGTGCATTTCTTGAGAAGGAACCTCTTTTTGGTCTTGTGTCTTGTGCCCAATTCTCCTCCCACTCCTCACAGACCTGTGTCTTTACCCACCTCTTAGCACTGCATCGTCTACACCCAGAAAAAACCACCACCTCTCCATTGGCCTGGGCATCGCCACCTTCAGGCACCAGGCTGGCAATATGAAATGGGCCTAGCCCTGTGCCCGGGACTTAACCTGTGGAATCTGTCCTGACGAAAAGAATTCCGACTCAGCACTTGTCCAACACTGGACTGGCCAGAGCATGTCTGGGCCCTGGATGCCCTGTGGCAGGGAGCACATGGCCATTTCCCTGTTAGCCACATGGTCTGGCCTGGCTACCATGGGCCAGACATCATGCAGACCAGAGACAGGAGGGGAAATCTGTGGCCTGCTGGCTTTCCAGAGCCTGCAGAAGCTACTGTCACTGTGAACAACTGCTCCTTTACCAGAAGAGACTAGAGAATTTTACCACAGATCATGGGGTGTAACAATTCAGTTTAATTTTAGAGCACTGCTGATTTGTCATTTGAGGTAATTTGTAGAACATCTGAGCATAAAACTACAGAAGAATGTGATAGACTTTCAGGATGGCAGGAAAACAGCAACCATAGTAATGTAACAATGATAACATCAAAGATAGTATCAGCAACAATGTATTGAGCATTTATTATGCACCAGGTACTGTACTAAGCACTTTAGTCTTGGATAACACTAAGAGGTGGGGTGGGTACTCTTCTTTTTTTTTTTTTTGAGTTGGAGTCTCACTCTGTCACCCAGGTTGGAATGCGGTGCTCACGGCCACCGCAGCTTCAACCTGCTGGGTGCAGGCAATCTTTCCACCTCAGCCTTCCGAGTAGCTGGAACTATAGGCATAAGCCACCATGCCCAGCTAATTTTTTGATTTATTGTAGAGATGAAGTCTCATAAGTTGCCCAGGCTGGTCTAGAACTTATGGGCTCAAGCAATCCTCTCACCCTAGCTTCCCAAAGTGCTGGGATTATAGGTATGAGCCACCATGCCTGGCCAGTACTATTCTTTATCTTTGCTATACAGAGAAGGAAACTGAGGCTAAGAGGTGTTACATGACATGCTGGTAAGCAGCAGAGCTTGTGGCCAATGGAAGGCCACCTGACTGCAAAGCCTGAATAATTAGTGAGAATGTTGCTCATCAGGTCTGCCAGGTGACTGAGCAGTCTGTCATTCTACTTGTCCTGTTCATTCTTGTATTTCAACCAGGTCAGGGTTTCTGGGGGAAACCCCAAAGGCTGAAGCTGTATTCAGAGGGGTGGGGCTTGTGGAGGTAATGGCTCACGGGGTGTTGCTCTTGACACCAAGAGCTGAGGGCTTCCAGGAAGAGTCTTCTGAAGGAGGAGGACACAGCATTATAGAGGACAGGTGTCATAGCTGAGTGGACACAGAAAAGTGTGCTGGTCACCATGTAGAAATAGTGGTAGAAATTGCAGAACATGCTGCAAGAGAAACCCAGAAGACCTGGTTAGAGGTCCTGTCACCCCCTCACAGCATCCCCCTGCCTGCTGGGAAATGCCTCTCTCCTCCAAAGGACTGGGTGAGGAAGCCTATTTCTGCCGTCAGAAAGCACAATGTGAATTGAACAAATGTTCCATCACCACCAGCTGATGCTCTCTGCCTAGCCTCTATGATTTGCCATCCCTGGCTGTGGTTCCTGGCCACCTGCCCAGTGAAGGTGATACTGCTGACTGACAGGGGCCATCTGCCCAGTCTCCTGAGATGGTGCGAGCCCCATGCTGCTAACTGTGGTCAAGGAGCTATGGCTACACGAAGACGTGGAAACCTTTCTGAGAAGTTATGCTCCTTGTCGCAGGGATTCTCTGTGGTGGGAAGGGCTTGGCATGTGCCCGTGTTGCACATGTCTGTCAGGACTGCTGGTAGCTCCCAAGGAGATATCTGTCCACATAGGTATTTCCTTGGAGGACACATGGAGTCTCTATTCCCTCAGATGTTTGACTTCCACCATAATCAGGGGCATAATGATTTCTGAAAGGAAGATAATGAAGTATCTTTTCTTCTCTGACTGTGACATAAAAGGATGTGTGTCCTTGTCTCTGTCTGAGGGGTCTTTGTTAGCTCATGGAATCACAGCTCTGAGTCTTCTTCTTTCTCTCCTTGTAATGACATGGCCTTTGTGCCACCCCTTTCAGCCTACAGGCTTCTCTGTCCCGTAGTCAGAATCCCATAGTCACAACTACCAGCCACAAGGGCTCTCACTCACATGGCCTTGCCAGGTTAGAGGAGTTTCCAGAGAAGGCCTTGTTCCTCATCCCCAGCTGGGAGATTTTGAAGGTATAGACTGGGCAGAACCAGCTGGAGTACAGGCCACAGTTCAGAGGACTCAGTAACTAAGGGTGGAGACCCCAAACCCAGTCCAGTAAGACCCCTTCCTGGGTGCCAGGGCCCTTCCTTTACACTCACCCAGTCCACCTGTCATCAGGCATATAGCAATACATGCACCTGCGGGCATGGCACGGCAGCCAACACACAACATACACAGCTATGATGTCTCCTGCAGAACAACTGGAGAGAGTCAGAGACAGAAAGCAAACACGGGCAACCCCCTTGGGTCCCCCCCCACTGTGGGAGCCTTTCTGTGCTCTCAATAAATCCTGCTTAAAAAAAAAAAAAAGGGAAAGCAAACGCATTCTCAGTTATGCTGTCTTTAAGGGAAGAAGATGCCTGAGGTGACGACAGCATTTCCTTCTAACTTGTTCTTGGGGTCAAACAGTGGAAGGGAACTTTGAGGTGATCTGATCCCTCCCTATCCGAATCTGTTCTCCAACTTTGCATAACCCTGTCCTCTGGATGAATGTCCATCTTGACCATGACCTGGACACATGCTTCTAGAACCTTCTAGAACCTTCTCCTGGCCACTAAAATATACTCCCAATGCAGGGCTAGGCATTCCCACCTGGTCGTCTAACAGCATATGTAATATAACTTGTATCTTTCTTGCCTTAGAAAGTCTCTCCCTCCTCTTGTCCTTTTTCTGTTTGATTGTTGGCACCACCATCCAGCTGGCACTCAAACTGTAAAGACAGAGGGTCTGATTTTTTCCATTCCTCTTATAGCCCATCTATTAAATAATTTCTCCTTAGCATCTCTCCATTCCTTCCCCTCCCCTCTGCTACTACTCTAAGAGGCTCTTATCTCCTTTCCACTGGACTATGATGCCAATCTCCTAACCTTCCACCCCTTCCCTCCCCCGCTCCTATTCTTCCCTAGCCCACAAACCCTTCATCTAACCCAATGTGGCCCCTAAGCCAGCAGTGACAACATCAAGTAGGAATCTGGCAGAACTGCAGAATCTTGGGCCCCAGGGTCTATGTTTTATTACTTTCCAGATCTTTCTAACGCACACTGCTGTTTGAGAGGCACTGTTTAGCCTACTCCCCAAAGAACTGATGAGTGCGACAGACAGAAGAAACAGATCTCCATCACTACTAGACATTGACTCTTTCAATGACCACCCATTGTCTACAAAATGAAGTCCGACTCCTTCATGTGCTGCCTTCGCGATACTTATTACATCACACGGCACTTAGTTCTCACATCTCTGTCTATGCACAAGACCATGCTGTTGATGGGAGCAGAGACCCTGTCGCATACTCAGATCTCCCAGACCTTAGCTAGTGCCTGAGTTATGATGTGCACTTGGAGAGACCTCCGTTTTCCTGCACCTTTCAGAGTTTCTTTTATAAGGCCACATTTTCCCAGATACTTACAAAGACAAGCAAACAAACAGATCAATGTTGTCATAAGGAAAGTGGAGAGTTACAAGGGAGCTGGATTTGAGGACCCATCCAGCCAAAGAGTCCACAGTTCCCATCTGCAATCCTTAACTAAAACTGCTCCTTGTGTTCTTTCACAGCCAGACTTACCGAAAAGTGGCCAGGACTCTGCTTGTCTGCATGTGCTATACCCGGGAGCAGATAGGGGCCTTCAGGTGCAGAATTTCCATTCTTGTCTTTTTGTTTGTTTGTTTGTTTTTGAGCTGTAGTCTCACTCTGTCACCCAGACTGGAGTGCAGTGACTGCTCCCGGCCACTGCAGCCTCGACCTGCTGGGCTCCGGCGATCCTTCCGCCTCAGCCTTCCGAGTAGATGGAAATATAGGCTCGCGCTACCACGCCTGGCTAATTTTTGACTTATTGTAGGGATGAGGTCTCGCCAAGTTGCCCAGGGGGGTCTCGAACCCGTGGGCTCAGGCAATCTGCTTGCCTAGGCCTCCCAAAGCGCTGGGATTACAGGCAGAGCCACCAAGCCAGCTTCCATTCTTGTCTTTAATTATCCTGCTGAGCTCTACAAGAAGCCTGCTGGTGATTACATAATTCCCCTGGGGCAAAGGATAAAGGAAGCTCAGAGGGAAGTAATGACTTTCTGAGGTTACCTGGCAAGGGATTGGTGGAGGTAGGCCCAGAACCTGGGCCCATTTCTCCTGGGGCAGAATTACAGAGGATTTAACAGAACACAGATGTTGTGTGGAGGCTGCAGACCCAGCTCATGTCCTTATGTCTCACCAGGCTGGCCTGGCCCACCAGGGAGAGGGTCTTCCTCCATGCGATGAAGCTGAGTAGACCCTCCTCACTCAGCTCCAGGAGACTGGGGGCAGAGATGCCTGGGACAGAAGTAGATGGCACCTGGGAGCAGAGAGCTACTAGGTGGCTCACCGTGACCCCATTCAGGAAAATGGTTAGTGCCAAGGGGAGCATGAAGGACACCAGTACATTCATTCACCTATGGAGGTGATTCCAAGGGTTGTGGGGGTAGGATTAAGGACTTGGGTCATCAGGTTGTGCCCAAGGTCCAGAACCTGTATAAGTAGAAATGGGAGACAGAAGGATTAGAAGATAAATTTGAGAAAATTCTCAGAAAGTAGGAAGAGAACAATGACAATAGAAGAGAAAATTTGAGTCAGGCGCAATGGCTCACGCCTGTAATCCCAGCACTTTGGGAGGCTGAGGAGAGAGGATTGCCTAAGCCCAGGGGTTCAAGACCTGCCTGGGCAACTTGGCGAGATCTCGTCTCTATAATGAATCAAAAAAATTAGCCAGGCATGGTAGCATGTGCCTGTAATTCCAGCTACTTGGAAAGCTGAGGTGGAAGGATTGCCTGAGCCCCCCCCCCACACATGTATATACATATATATATAATGTATATATATACATATATATATATATACACACACACACACATATAATTGTATCACCATGTTTGGTTAAATTTATGTTAAGTATTTACATAATTGTGATTGCGTAGTCAACAGTGGATGGTACTTGGTTCTCAATGAGAGAATATGATGTAGAGTATTGGGATTGGGCAGGGCATTGCTGTTTTTGTGTTATTTACAATCCAAACCTTGTATAATTATGATCTGATACTATTTGACTTAAGAAAAACAAATTGATTATAATATGCTGTGTTTTAAATGTTAAATATTAAAATTTTTAAATATATGTGTCATAGGGGTTCTCCTCATCAGTTCTTTTACTCCTTTCCTACTGGGTATATACTCAAAGAAGCATAACTCATTTTGCCAAAAAGACATCTGCACTCGTATATTTATTGCGGTATTATCCACAATAGCAAGAACATGGAACCAATTTAGGTGCCCACCAATGGCAGACTGGATAAAGAAAATGTGGTACATATACAAAGTGGAATACTACACAACCATAACGAAGAACAAAATCATGTCCTTCACAGCAACATGGATGCAGCTGGAGACTATCATTCTAATTGAACTATCACAGAAACAAAAAAACTGAATATTACAGGTTCTCATTCATAAGTAGGCACTAAACATCAGGCACATGGGCATAAGTGTGGGAACAACAGACACTGGCCACTGCTAAAGGAGGGAAAAAGAGTGATCAGAGATACACAACCATCCATTGAATACCATGTTCACTAATAGAGGGGAGAAGGCTTGTTAGAAGCCCAAACCTCACCTTCACGCAATATACTTATATAGCAAATCCTCACATGTACCCCAGGATTATAAAATAAATAAATAAGTAAAACAAAGCAAAATAAATAAATAAATCACTAATTAAAATATGTGTGTTATAAGGTTTTTCCTTGTCAGTTCTAAGGCTGTCTTACTCCTTTCCCTTTGAAAACATTAAAAAAAAAAACCTTAAAAATATTTTAATACCACTTTAAAATCAATATAAAATATCAGAATTGGGCATTACACCTTTTTAAAACATTATTATTCATGATTTTCATCTTAATTCATGCTCACAAATCAGCACCAAGGAAAAAATAAAACATTGTATGTATATGGCACTCAGTTTGTTGAGAGACCAGTTTTATATAAATGACAACATGCTTAACTACTTGATTGTAGCTTTAATACCAGCTAAGACAAAGACTGAAAGTAAAAATACATTTATAAGTTAGCAATTAATCTTGTGAGTTTTGAAATCTTTCTGGGAAGATGACATGGCTTTTTTTACTTTGAAAATCTATGGGCAATTCTTCCTATTTAACATAGTAGTAGAAGTCCTAGCCAGAGCAATCAGGCAAGAAAAAGAAATAAAAAGTATCCAAATAGGAAGAGAGAAAGTTAAATCATCTCTCTTCACAGACAATATGATTCTATATCTAGAAAATCCTAAACATTTCACCAAAAACTTCCTAACACTGATAAACAACTTCAGTCAACTTTTGGGATACAAACTCAATGCTCAAAAACCAGTAATATTTCTATATACCAACTACATTCAAGCTTAGAACCAAATCAACAGCTCACTCCCATATGCAACCACACACACACACACACACACACACACACACACACACACACACAATACCTAGGAGTACATCTAACGAAAGAGGTGAAAGATCTCTATAAAAAGAAGTACAAAACATTGCTGAAAGAAATCAAAGGTGACACAAACAAATGGGAAAAAAAAAACCCCCAAAACTCATGCTCATAGATTGGAAGAATCAATATTGTGAAAATGTCCATACTGCCCAAAGCAATTTACAGATTCAACATAATCCCTGTCAAACCACCAGCTATCATTTTTCACAGATCTAGAAAAAAAAAATACAATACTTAAACTCATATGAAACAAAAAGAGCCCAAATAGCCAAAGCAATCCTAAGCAAAAAGAACAAAGCCAGCAACATCATATTGCAATGACTTCAAACTTCACTACAAGGCTACAGAAATGAAAACAGCATGGTACTAGTGTAAAAATAGACACATAGACCAATGGAACAGAATAGAGAACCTAAAAATAAAGTCACTGACCTCACTGACCTACAATCAACTGACCTTCGATAAAGTAGACAAAAATAAACACTGGGGAAAGGAAATCCTTTTCGACAAATTGTGCTGGGAAAACTGGCTACCCATATGCAGAAGAATGAAACTGGACCCCTTCTCTCACAATATACAAAAATTAACTCAAGATGTATTTACAACTAAAATGTAAGACTTCAAACTATAAAAATTCTAGAAGAAAGCCTAGGAAATACTCTTCTGGATTGACCTAAGCAATAAATTTATGACCAAGTTCTCAAAAACAAATGCAACAACAACAAAAAATTGACAAGTGGGGCCTAATTTAACTAAAGAGCTTCTGCATAGCAAAAGGTACAATCCACAAAGTAAGTACACAACCTACAGAATGGGATAAAATATTTGCAAACTATGCATCTGGCAAATGGCGAATTCCCAGAATTTATAATTTATTAGCTTAGATAAATTGACAGAAAAAAAATTTAAAAGTGGGCAAAGGACATGAACAGTCACTTCTCAAAAGATGACATACAAGCAGCCAACAAACATATGAAAAAATGCTCAACTTTGCTAAGCATCAGAGAAATGCATATCAAAACCAAAATGAGACCCCATCTTACATCAGTCAGAATGACTGTCTTTAACAAGTCAAAAAACAACAGATGTTGGCATGGTTACAGAGAAAAGGGAATGCTCATAGACTGTTGGTGGGAATGTCGGCTCGTTCAGCCTTGTAAAAAGCAGTTTGGAGATATCTCAGAGAACTAAAAATAGATTTACCATTCAACTGGGCAATCCCACTACTGGGTATATACCTAAAAGAGCACAACTCACTCTACCAAAAAGATACCTGTACTTGTATGTGTATCACAGCACTGTTCACAATAACAGAAACATGGAACCAACTTAGGTGCCATGTTTGAATTGCTGATTGCATAAAGAAAATGGCAGATTGGATAAAGAAAATGTGGTACATATGTACCATGGAATACCCTGCAGCCATACCAAAGAATGAAATCTTGTCCTTTGCAACAGCATGAATGCAGTTAAAGATCATCACTATCAGGGAATTAACACGGAGACAGAAAACTGAATAGCACATGTTCTCACTCATAGGTGGGAGCTAAACACCAGGTACACATGGACATAAGGATGGGAACAACAGACACTGGGGACTACTAAAGGGGAGAGGAGAGGAGGGGGACAGAGATTGAAAATCACCCACTGGATACCATACTCACCACCTGGATGATGGGCCTACTAGAAGCCCAGACCTCACCAGCATGCAACATACCCATGTAACAAACCTGCACATTCACCCCTGGAACCTAAACAACAAAGCAAAAACACAAGCAATAGTCGTGGATGAAGACACCAATTAATATGAACAACGGATCAACTCACTGATATGATAGCAAAAAGAAATTAGCATCAAAATAATCCTAACTTGGGCCTGGTTACTTTGTTGTGTTAACATATACCGTATGTTTAAACATTCTTTTATTTTATTCTATCTGTCAATACTGTTACACTGAAAGAATTCATTACAAGTTGTATCAGAAGCTTGCTCTAGCAAATTTCACAGCTTCATTGCCTTGACCAGTTTGAACTATGTCAAGGAAACCATGTCAAGGAGCATATTCACCAATACAGTCCTTGTTTAGCACTTTTTTTCCCCCCCAAGCCTGATTTCTGACTAGGAACAGCCTGGAAGCTACTACTCCAGTTTGTGAAAAGTGGTGAAAATTGGCTCCCAGGCATTTGGGGCATACAGTTGTCTGGTTTTTTGTCATGGCCACAGCAGGGTCCAGCAAGGAGCAGCACAGTCAAGCCTGAGCAGAAACTCACTGGCTATTTCACTGTAGCTCAGAATCACAGGGAAGTTGCTGGGAGGTAGGTGAGAGTCCCCTTCTGCTCTGTGGCTGTGATGTGCTTGGCCAGTGCTGGGACGGGTTGCACATGGACTGGAATGCTGAGGTGTGAGGTCATGATTGTTCACCTGACATAGTGTTAGTGCTGCTGTGTTGACTCCCTTTGTGGCTGGTCCTACTAGTCTGGAACTGTCCTGCTGCTGGGTTTTTTGCTTTTGCTTTGGTTTTTGTCTCCTTTATCATCAGGTCCAGATTTGGGTCAGGAATTTGACAACCTGCAAACATGTCTGATATAGGAAAGTGGATTTTCTAAAGATTAGATATCCTGTCTAGCCGGTTCTGTGTAAGGACATGATTTGGCAAATAGTTCTCTTTATAGGGACCATAGTAAGCAACTTCTGAAGCAAGTAGAATGTTTCCTTATGGATTAACTATACATTTTCCCATATTGTTAAGGCTGCAATTGGCATGTGTGTTTCTTCAGAAATCTTTCGTTAACGTTGAATGTTCAGGTCTCTATTTTATCTGCACAAAATCCCATTAAACTAGATGCTCTGTCTAGCTTGTCATGGGCTAAAGATGACTAGGTTATATGTTAATA